ATTCATAACAGTAGCAAAATTACAGTTATAGAGTAGCAACGAAAATAATTTTATGGTTGGGGGTCACCACAACATGAGGAACTGTATTAAAGGGTCACAGCATTAGGAAGGTTGAGACCTACTGGTTTAGCGGAACCTTGTTTGAGGATGCAAGGTTTAAGAACAACACCTATGTCTAAGCTGGCCACCATTTTTAAATGTAGAAACTTGTGGGTGATGTGTCAAGAACAGTCCTCTTTTTAGGATCAATTGCATTCTGAGATCCCTTCTCTGAAGTAGGATCTCAAAGTACTAGGTGCAGTGACTTAGTCAAAGTTTGACTAGGTCACAATTAAGATAGTCTGAAAGACATGGAGGAAACGTAAATGCATATTACTTAGTGCTAGAAGCCAATCTGAAAAGGCTACATACTTTATAATTCCAACTATATGACATTCTGGAAAAGACAAAAGTAGGGAGACAGTAAAAAGATCCATGATTGTCAGAGGTTGGAGAGGAAAGGGGTGAATAGACAGAGCAGAGGGGTCTTGAGGGCAGTGAAAGTACTCTGAATGATACTATGATGGGGACTACATGTCATTACACATTTGTCTAAACCCACAGTTCAACGCCAAGAGTGAACAACCCTAATGTAAACTATGGACTTTGGGTGATGATGTATCAATGTAGGTTCATCAATTGTAAGAAAGGTACCCCCTCTGATGGGTGATGTTAATAATGGGGGAGGCTATTCATGTGGGGGGCAGAGGGCATATGGGAAATCTCTGTATCATCTGCTCAGTATTGCTGTGAACCAAAAACTGCTCTAAAATATAAAGTCTATTAAAAAAGTTAAGATAGTCTACCCTCTTGCTAAGACAAGCCTTTTCTGTTCTTCTGCAGCCCTTAAAACATCTCTGACTCCTGCTTAGTGCTGCTTCTGAAGAAACAGTAATGAGCTGTCATCTAGTCTCATCCTGCCTCAATGCTAATAAGAGCAGCCTTCAAACCCACTGTGACTCTCTAAGGACTTGGAGGATGTTTCCTTAATATAAAAATGCAGTCTGTTTATTGTAATTAACAGTTGGCAAACAAAAACTATTTTTTGAACAGCCAAACCAAGCCAAACAAACCACCCAGATTTAAAAGCAGAAAAGTCAATGAACTGCTAATTTCTGTATAATTAGAACACACAGTTTCTCAGTAATTAAATATTTTATTTTTAAACTGATGTTTTTATGTATATATTTCACACTGTCCTAGTTCTGAATCCTAACTTCATGGGCTGAGTCATCCAAAGTGTTAGAGCAATATTTATAAAATCCATTCATCCAAATAGACAATAAATTGATTTCAAAAGCTACATGGCTTATATAATCCTATTTAGGATCAGTACAATACTTAGCTTGGGTTCCTTCTTCTTTCATTAGCCCTTTGTCAACACTTGACAGTGGAGCATAGTGACTGCATGGGGCTTTGACACATTTGGCATTTCTTAGCCTTAACCTCGGAGTTTTGCTGGTCCCACTACTGACCAACTGACTGAAGGCCACTGCCAACAGCTGGGTCTCTGGTCTCCAGCAGCCTAAGCCACGAAGCTGCTGGTGGTGCCCGCAGCTGCTTACTCTAACAGCTGGACATTCTCACAGGCCTCATTTGGCACAAGAGCCAAATGCTTCCTCCTCTCTGTCTTAACGCAGCCTGGCTTTCCAACATTTCATCCTACGAATGGCTGTTTCTTCCTAGGAATTTATTTTTTCTAATTAGGGTAAGCTACTTTGGTTACGGTCTTATGGGCTGAAAAGCTGCATTTTCTAGGAACACAGGTAAGTGTTACAGACAGTTTCAGAACACATGCCAATGCACTTTTACTTTTTCAGTAGAGAAAAGGGCAAAGGAATGGACACTAGAGAATGCTTTTTAACTTGATCTCAATTTTTATAAATATAGTTACATTCTGGGGCATTAAAACCTTAACATCCTGTCAAGAGGGGCGCCAGGGCAATGTGGTACCAGTTCATATTCCGAGCTGTTTCATTGGATAGATGTAAAAACTAGTTTCCCAACAACAAACACAACATTTAGGGGAGTACTGTGCGTTAGGGGTAGTGAGGGGAATGGAAATGGGGTGCTTCAATCATATTTGAAATGCTTTATTTCCTAAGCTGGTGGATGGCTTATGAGTTTGTAAAAATATTACTTTTTTACACTTCTGAGTGTCTAAAAAAACCCCCATAATTTTAGAAAAGTTTCCCAAATAGCTGATTCAGTATAAAGCATTTTATCTCTACTAGGCTTTCTACTTTTACTTCTACTTTTTGTGAAACAGATGGCTATTTTACATAAAGAAAAGCAAGCTCCTTGTGAAAAATACACAGTAGGTAGAACGTCTAGGAACCCTACATAACTAGAATTAGCTAAAGAAGTATGACACTTCTAACTTGAGATATCCTATTACAAATTGAAGAAGAAATCTGACTCCTGAAGATTTTGGCAACATATACACATTATTTTCCCTGAAAGATTAATGATGGTCATAAAACTTATCTTTAAGAAAAAAATCACTATATACTTCACCCTAATATTGCTGAGAGTAAGGTATATACTAAGTCCTCACTTAACATTGATAAGTTCTTAGAAAGTGCAACTTTGAGTTAAATGGCATATGACGAAGCCAATTTTTACCCTAGGCTATAAACAATAATTAAGTGCCTACAGCATATTTCTACAGCACATATTTTTACCAAAACATCACCAAACTTCTAAATAAAGACCCCAAACATTTCTAATATTAAACACTGAAATAAATATAAGTTATACATACATTTAAGAAAGATGAATAAAAACAAGTAAGATGATGATTTTCCAACCCACTTATTCCAGCTCAGGGTCCCGGTGGCTGGAGCCTATCCCGGCAGCTCAGGGTGCCAGGCGGGAACCAACCCTGGCCAGGACACCCTTCCACTCACACCCACACCCACACCCACACCCACACACTCACTCAGATGAGACAGTGGAGACACGCCAGTTCACCTCATGGGCACATCTCTGGGATGTAGGAGGAAACCAGAGTCCCCAGAAAAGACTCCACACAGACAGTGGACCCGGTCAGAAATTAATTTTTCTTCTCATCAATGTCATAACGAAGCAACATTGAACAAAACGACATTATTAAAAGACCAGCTGTGCTTGTATGATGCTTTACAATTCACATTATCTTATTTGATCATCATTAGTCTTGGCCTAGCTAATATTATTTTTCCTATCTTGTGGCTGAGGAAGCTGAAGATCAGAAAGGTCAGGTGACTCTTCCCAGCTCTCACACTTGGCAGACAATATTGCTCCTTCTACTTTACCTCACTACTGACAAGCTTGAGAGAAAGAGGTAGAGACAAAGCCACACAGTATTGATTCTTCACATGGTCCAATGCTGCCACTTCTGTAGAAACAATGGAATCAGTGAACTCTCACCTGGTGATTCTGCAAGGTGCTCTTGTTTCTCTTCTCTGTCCTGAAACTGAATTAAATGTGACCACAAAGCTGACTTTCCCTGAAAGTACAAGATACATAAAAAATTTTATTTTATAAGAAATAATTCGGGCCGGCCGAGTGGCGCAATGGTTAAGAACTCGCTTGGGATGCCAGAGGGCCCCGGTTTGGATCCCACATATGAGGGCCAGTGACACTGCCCTCCACAGCTAGGATGCTGAACAACAGCTCAACCTGGAGCTGGGCTGCCGTGAGTCGCTGGCGACGGCGTGGGCTGCAGTCCCTGTGGCAGTGGGTTGCCATGGGCTACCGTGTGTGGCCAGCAGCCAGCGTGAGCGGCCAGCAGCCGCAGTGAGCGGCCGTCCAGAAGCCGGCGACTGATCTGCCTCGCCTGGGAAGAGCGCAATGATGGTGCCAACTTGGGCCAGTGAAGCAACATCCTCCACAACTAGACTGAAGAACAAAACGACAGCAACTTGTCTGTTCCCCTTCCCCCAATTCCCCAGCACTGTTCCCATCCCCCCAATTCACCAATAAAAATCTTTAAAAAAAAAAAAAAAAAAAGAAATAATTCATTAAAAAAATAATTTCTCATCAAAACCATCCCCACTGAAATGGCCATTCTGAAGTTTGGAGATTCAAGCTCATCCATTCCTAGCAGCATGACATTCTGAGCATCACCCTTTGCCTCACTGAGAAGACTGGCAATGCTTGGGGAAGGGCAGCTGCTAAGCATGAGGCCCCAAGTGCTGGCCCAGAGATTTCTGACTTCAGCTTGGTTACTTAGGTATGTAATTAGGGCTGTCCCTACTAGTCACACTAGTAGCCACGGAATTAAAAGGCTCTAGCAGCACAGAATGTATTTGTATACATCCATATGCAAAATATGTTTGAATATATTGACTGGCAGTGAGAGAAGAAAATTGGGGCAAGAGGAGAAAGAGAAAAGGGGAAGAAGAAACATGTACACAACAGGGAAAAAAAACCCAAAAACAAAAACAGAAAGGAAGACTAGAGGGACAAAAGCAAAGAAACCATTTGACTTTTTCCACTCTGAATAGCTAGATAAAACGGTAAAGAACTGTATATTCTGCGATTCTGCCCTGGACTCCAATGAAAGCAGACACTTAATGGAGTTTACAGGGGATGTGGCTCTGCAGTGAATGTGCTGTTTCATCCTGTCCTGTTTACCAGGAAAGAGCCCCAAGCGCCTCCTAATCATGGGTTACGTTTTCTTTTTCTGGAATTAAAACGCCTGTGGCGCATTCCTAGTCATCCCGTGACAAAGGAACATATCCTTTAATTTTTATGACATTCTTTTTTCCTTGTTACATTTCCTAACAGAGCTCCTAAGCGGCCATGTCACCAGGGCCTTCTGAGACTGTTACCTGCTTGACCTGCAAACCGTGGCTCCATATCCTTTCCAGCAGGTCACAGAGGCTGGCGATCAAGGTGTTCTCCTCTAAGCCGGTTATGTTTGCTTCTCCATGGCCCAGTTCCACGGCTTCGTGGCCCATCTTCTCCACCAACATGCGTTTTGTCTGAAAACATCATGTGTGGTCACAAGTGTTGTCTCGGCAGGGAAGCCAAAACCCAACAAGCCATTACTGGATCAGGAGACCTGGCTTCCCTTCGTATATCTAACTGCAGATTTTTCTTCACCTTGGGAAAAGTGTCTTAATCTCTGTAGTCAGATAACTGGAGTAATATTATGTATATAGAGGGTCACTAGAGAGAGATTACGATACTCTTTTAAAGTATCCCCATGTAAGTGTTTATGTACGATAGTTTTCAGATTACTAACTTGAGCAGCATTGGGGAATTACATCAGACCTAGGAAATGTACTGTCAGAACCTGAAACCCCATCCTGCCACAACTAGCAACCCACTGCCCCGCATCTTAACATATTAAAGATTCCTGCACTGAGTTTTGACTGTGTTTAGGCAGAAACCACAATACAAATTTTTTTGAGAACTCTAATTTGTGAGTAAACCAGGCCTTTTTTTTTCCTTCCTCTTTTACTCTTTTATCTCTCTCTGCTCAGGAGTATGCAGTGGAAAGGAAATGGAAATCAGTTTCAAGTATGTTAATCTGTAGCAGTCTTAGCTGCTCTTATAAAATGCAGAGAATCTAGTTCCTTTAGGCAGGGGCCTTGTCTGGCTAACTCAGCACTGTCTGCTGATGCTTTGAAAGCTGTGCAGTTATTGAATACACAGAGAAGGTCCTCAAGGAATGACTGTCAAACAAATGAATGAAATTATTGGCTAAAATGATGTTGAGTTTTGTCAACTTATATTCCTACCTCTGATAAAAACAGATATCACAGAGGAGACTAGTGTGTAATACACAGAAACTTACAACACAGCTAAGGTCTTCCTCCTTATGGATATACACACAAGTACGGGTATGGATAGGGCTCTACACAGAGGCATGTACAGGCACACAGAAAAAATGTGTTGCCTTTGGCGTAAGATGACAGCATCTCCAACACAACCCTTGACAAGCTTAATACCCAGTCATGTTGGAGAGGAAAACAGCAATGGCTGAAAAGGTGAGAAAAACTGTGCGGGGCTCCCCTGTCACTGATTCTGGGGGTGATGGAGAACCCATGGAGGTTCATGTCCTCAGCAGAGAGCACACAAGGTTTAGGCCCCGGTACAAGTTTTTTTCTAGAGAAGCTACAGGCTCAGACGGCGGCTGACTGCTCATCTCAGCCTCACACGTGGCGCACACGTGAATGCACACTGCCTCCTCGCATTAGTGGGTAATACATACCTTCATTCTACATTCTTTTAATAAGCCTTCTACAAATTTCCAGTTGGTTTGTGCAATCACAGCGGGAGAGAGGTCTGACAATTTGGGTTGCCTCAGGTTTTTTCCTAAACTTCGTGCCTCTTGCATATATTTCTAAAAATTAAAGAGTATTTTTAATGCATAGACATCAGATATTCTTCTGACCTACTTAACCTTAGACAAACAAGTGCAGGAACAACAAGATGCAAAAAGGCCATAAGTGTACATGTGCAGCAGCAATTCAAGTTGTGGTGTGCCAAAAGGCAGAGGAATTTGTACCTCCCACCCCCTCCCCTGTGGCAACGACAGTGACAGAAACCCCATCTGGTTAAAACCCATTCAGAATGAGATGGCAATTCATCTAGTTGAGTCTTTTTACTGGGAATACCCAATGTTGTGATTTAGTCAGGCTCCCGGTTGGATGAACAAATCTGAGCATCTGGATTATAAATTCAAGGTTGTGCAGGAACCCAGTGATCCTCAGATCTGGTTTCCGTCATTCCTCCCTCTCCCCACAGATTAAGCAACTTAACATACCTCTAGCTCTGTAACCAAGCCCTTTGCTCTAGTCAAGTCCAAACAGTAAAATCAGGAGCTCTAGAATCTAGGTGCAACAACTAACTTTATGGCCTCAAGCATATTTGCTTATTCATAAATGGGCATAAAACGTGCCCACCTCCGTCAGGAGAAGGGCCGTGAGATCACTCTGCAAAGTATCATGTGCTCCAGATGCAGGAGGCCTCTTGTTTTCTGTGACATGTTTCCTACATCCCTCCCCTGTCTTCTTCCACAATCAAGAGAAAGTAGAAACATCGTATCACTTTCAGAGACAGTGATGGCTCAGAGAGTTCCACAGAAACCCGGTCCACTGCTCTTAACCTTTGGTTAGTGCATATCTAGGGGGGGGAAAAAATCTCTACATATGATTAGCACAGAATACCTGCTGTCTCTTTCTATGCCATCTGCAAAAGCCCATCCAGATACCTTATGTTTGTATCAGGACCATAGGGAAGAATTCCCAAAAAGTCCACGCGTCTTGGGACCATATTTAGAGAATAACTACTCTAAATTATATAGTAGAACTAGCAGTTTGTTGGGGGGAGAGAGAGGGATTGCAAGCCAGCGCATCCTCCCACAGACACATATGTGAAATCCATCTCACTATCTTAAGGGGAAATTTGAAATTACAAGTGAAGATGTGTAAAATCCTTTGCATTCCTTAAATAAAAGGGAGTTTGTGTATTTATTTCCCTTTGGAAGAAAACGAGTCCACTAAAACTGGTACAAATCTTTAAAAAAACCCATTGATTAGGGATTCAACTGATTAGTTTAGCTGCTACTTCCCAACCCTCCTGATGAAAAGCTGCATTAATAAAATAATCTGTTTCCTTTCCAGTGCAATAATTTTAAGGACAAATTTAAAAATCAAATGAACTCTACAAGCATTTAGTCCTCTTAACACTTGTGTATACTTCCTTCTGCTTTAAATCTTTTTTAGAGGGTCAAAGAAAGATGGAAAATTGAGAATGAGAGACAACTATTACCACGAGGGAAATTAAGTGTAACAAGGTCTATCAAAAACATCCTGAAGGTTAGTTTTCAAATAAATAAAAGCATGAAATGAAAAGCTTCAGAAAAACCAACCCGCTGTATAAGGCAGGGACCCTACGTGAGAATTATGATAACTGCATTTCCTATTACTTCAGGTTGTGCTACTGTTCTTTGGAATATTACATATCAGAGATAAAAGGCTGGTAAAAACAAATGTCAAATGGTGAATGCTACAAGGCTCAGTTTCTCCCCCAGTCTCAATCCCTGTCTCTAGGACTTGGGCAAATGCAGAGACAATCACCATGAGACTCAATTCTAAAGAAAAGTTACATATCAAAGTTGGTTTAGGAAGAAATGCCGGCTGGAAGGAAAGGAGTGAGGAGCACCATCAGGCAGGAGGGTAGGAAGAAGCCTCGGGCATTCTCTTTTTTCCCGAAATATATGAATAATTAGATTTTTTAAAGTCAATAATTGGATTAAAAATTAAGCACTGTTTAAAATTTATGTTCTATTTCATAAGTGAAAACAAGCGAGAACGGGGCTGTCCTTTGAGGGGCCACATTTACCGAGCACCCAGCACCATGCCCATGGGGCGGGGATGGTTGTTAGGCAACAGTGAGCTCCGCAGGGCCTGAGCAGCTCTGCTGGAGCCCCAGAATGAGCAACACGCCAAGAGCATGCACAGAAAGAATACAGAAGGTGGGACAGGCCCTTCCCCACAGCAACGGGCTGCCTCTGTGTATTGCAAAACAGAGCAGTGCCTTTACAATAACTAAGTGATGAGAAAAACGTGACTTTCTTCAAAATGCAGCAGGAGGAAAAGGTGTATTTTAAGGTGAAAATAGAGAAAAAAGAGAAGCATTTCACAAGGAATGTTTTTATAATAAAGTCCGTTTCACTGCAGAGGCAAGTCACCTCAGATTTCTGCTGAGAGTCCTACTATGCTCTTCTTCACTTTTGTCAAAGACAAACGTAACAAACTACTAGGAACTACCGTATTTCCCCATGTATAAGATGCTCCCATGTATAAGACACACCTTAATTTTGGGTCCCGAAATTTGAAAAAAAATGTATTACATAAAGTTATTGAACTCAAGTTTCATTCATCATAAAATTCATACAACTCCTCATCACTGTCAAAACTCCCAACCATTAGCTTGNAAATGTATTACATAAAGTTATTGAACTCAAGTTTCATTCATCATAAAATTCATACAACTCCTCATCACTGTCAAAACTCCCAACCATTAGCTTGTTCTCATCTGTGTGTGATGACAAATCACTGTCTTCATATATTGCCTCGTCCTCAGTTCCATCTATGGCATTTGAAATCTACAACCACTGTATAAGACGCACCCAGGTTTTAGACCCCAAATTTTTCCAAAAAAGGTGCATCTTATACATGGGGAAATATGGTACTTATGAAAACATGTCCTATTAGCCAATAAACACTGAACTAACTGCTCTTTAGTACAGGTTCTCCCTAAATTTTCTAAGAAACATCCTGTTCCTCTAACTGGAGCTTGTGAAGAGAAGACCACTATGAAGTTAATTGGTGATAATACATCATAATGGGAAAAAATTACAACCAATAGTCCTAAATTGCTCTTGCCCTGAGGTGAGTAGCTGTTTGGTGCCGGCTGGTATGCAGGGTTCCCAGGGAGAGTACTGGCCTGGAGTTCAGGAGTCCTGCGCCATAGGCTCAGCGATGCCTTTGTGTGTCCATTTAACTTTGGACAAGTCTCTTGGACTTCAAATCACATCAAGTTGAACAAGATGATCTCAGGTGTTCCCCTTAGCACTAAGATTCTACATTGATGACCTGATTTTCTGACCGTGTATAGACCAAAAAGAGTAAATTAAAGTGCTGTGGAGATAAATCCTAGCCAAAGAAACGCTGACTGAAAATGAATCACTTCAGCAAAACGCTTAAACAAAGGAGAGTTTGAATATTTAATACGTTTCCCTTTGGAAGAAAAACAATTTGCTAAATCCACCTCCATCCCCCACAAACCCACTGATTAGGAGTTTGAATAATCAGTTTTACCTGCCAACAGTACAGAATCACTCGTGTTAGCACACACCACCACGAAAAGGTACCGTACCACACACAAGAGGAAGTGGAGAGCCAAATGAGAGGTAACGTCACAAGGTGATGTGAGGCATTCTAAATCTATGTGTACTCACGCATGTGGATAATTCAAGGAACACCAAAGACAAGGTTTGGGAACATCTGCAAAGCACTTTCAGGCCAAGAACATACCAGGCAGCACTCAGAGAAGGATTTTTTGGGAGGTCGTGCAGGAGGAGGTGGACCCTGATCCCACTCCCAGAATGCCATGGAGTTCTGACAGACCACAAGTTCCCCCGGAGGCTAAGAGGATGGAGAAATGCCAATGACAGAAAAGCAAAAAAGAAAAGGATATGGGAGAAAGAGACAAGCAAAACAGGCATGCATATGATAAAGTCACAGCAAAAGAAAGGGGAGAGAAGAAAATACGGTAGCACAAAGAAAAGCACTAGAGAGATGATGCTTCGATTCTTAAAACAATGTTTAAAATCATATATGTGTGAACACATCAACAGAAAGCAGTATATATTTGGAATGATGTTTTCTGCTTTATTTCTACACATCTGAGCTTAGAAAATAGTTAACAGATCTTCTGATTTTTCTTTTGATCACAAGAAATAATCAACTTATTTAATATTATTCAAATATATAATTATGGTTTTATTTTCAAGTAGTACAAATAAAGCTTAAGATCTTAATTTTAAAACAATAAACATTAAAAAAAAAACTTTTAAAATGGTGTCAGCAAGCCAAGGACAAAGCAGAAGCAAATCCATCTTTACTCGCTAAGTTTAAATTATGCTTGAAACTTAGACATGTCTACACTTCTGGAAAATTTTTTTCCTTACAGGACACATACAGACCAAAAATATTACTTCAACTTAGCTTTGTACTTATGGAGACTTGTTTTAAAGCCTTATTTTAATGTACTGAAATTACAAAATGGAAGCAAAGGTGTTTTCTGCTATAAGTCAGTACAAAAGGATTACTATTTTAAAATATTAATATAACTGAACTGTTTTATACAAAGAATGGGGAAGAACCTACACAATGACACCTGCTGGGCCAAGTGAGCCTGGAGCGTGGCTCCTGCATCAGGTACCCCAGGAAGGCAGCCCACATACCTCCCTCAAGTCGTTGTCCAGCCCCACGTGCTCGGAATGCTGGCGAAGGCGGTCTTTCCTGCGCTGTGTGGTGGCACTCCGACTCACCCAGCGACTGAAAAAACAGGAGGTGTCAGTGAAAACAACCAAACCAAAAAATGGGGCCACTTACCTTTAAAAGAGAAAGAATGAACTGTTCAAAACAAAAGACTAACAATAGTTATTTTTCTGTTTTTTAAATATAACAGCTTTATTGAGATATAATTTAAGTACCATACAATCACCCATTTGAAGCATGTAGTTCCATGGTTTTTAGTATTTCGTCACCACAGTCAATACTTTTTTAAAACTGAGGTTAAAAACTTCATAGCATCTCCTCCGAAATGATCCTCTGCTTTCTATCATACCTGTCCAACAGAGCCCCAAACCTTGGCTGAATACTACCCTTTCTCTTCCCTATTCTATTCATGTAGACTCATTCTTGATTTCACTCATGACTACCTAAGAACCATTTTACCTGTCCTTTATCAACTCTCCCCCAATCCCCTCAAAAGCTATTCTATATCTTTCACTTTACCCTCAAGTTCTCCACTTGTAACTAAATACCCACCTTGCCTCCTTCCTCTGGCCCTCCATTTAATGATATATACACACAGTCACCTCGTCTTTCTGGCCATGGCTCAAAACTATTTCTTCCACCTGGTTCCCTGACCAATTCTCTCCTGCCTTCTTCAGCCTGCTCCATTGGTCACCTCCTTTGCTCTCTCCAGTTTTTCTCTTCCAATTGAATATTTCCTTTCAACTTACAATCATGCTGGTCTCTCTCTCTCTCAGCCCTCTATAGTTATGTTTAAATCTCTTCACTCTTCTCGTGTGAAAATGCTTGAAGAGAAAAGTTTAGATGTAAGGTCTCTACTTATTTATTTTTGGATCTTTAGTTCATCTCAAATCATCTTCTTCCCGGGAAAATGCTCTTGACTAAAGCCACTGATATCCCTACCTGCCATATGCAATGGCTATTATTTGTCAATTATCAGCTTACTCAAACCTCTCTGCTATGTTTAGTTGTTCTGATCATTCCTACCTTAAAACTCCAACTATTTCCAACCATCTCAATGGTTCCAACGAGATACGCTCTCTCACCTTTGTCCATGAAGTTTTCTCCCAACTTCCATTCATCTTTAGATAGCTTAGATGGCACACAGACATGTTCTATGATTACTCCAAATCTAAATTAGATACCCCTCTTGTACTTCCCAACTGTAGTACCTCTCACACTGTGTTATTCTTACTTAACCCTATTTTCTATAAAATCCTCTCTACTATAAACTCTTGAAGGGCTTATATCATGTCTGTCAGCCAACTTACTGGCAATATCTACTATATCACCTGCCCCTTCTATAAATACACTTTAAATAATCAGAGATGCAGTCTAACATTTAAGTGTACAGATGTTCATCACAGCATGTAAGCAGTAACAAACTGTGTGTTTCCTTCATTTTGAGACCCACATTTTGGCTTTTAAATGTTCCTGAAATTAGGATGTATCTTTCACTTCAAAAGCATGCTGAATGCATAATTTTTCCAAAAGCTTTTGAGTTAATAGCAGATTTTACAGCCAACAGTTACTTAGAATTAAGTAAATATGCTCAAAACAATCTAAATGTTCTACAGTAGGGGGTGCTATACAATGAAATATATAATCATTTAAAAAAATCAAGTTTCTAGAAATATTAATAATATGGGAGATTGTTCCTGATATAATAATGAATGGAAAGCAAGACTGTATAAACAATATTCTAATTTTGTAAAAAAAAACGAACAAAAAAGTGTGAACATACACATGTGCACACACACCAGGATCCATGTACTGGAAACATATTAAATGCTAACATCTCATGGTGATGGCATTATGGGTGGTTGTAAAATGTACTTTTATCACGTTCCAATATTCTAAATTTTCAAGTGAATATTTTTATATCACACTATTTAGAAAATTTTCTCAGGTCTTAACTATGTAGTCATCACACTATTCTAAGAATTATTTACTTTTGAGTATATATCCTTGACAGCACAGAGTTACAACAGTTTAAAAAATGAATTTACATTTTTGCCGTTCAGGAACAGTCATATTGCATTACTGACAATTTGTTATTAAATTTTTTTATTAATAAAGTATTCAATTTACAAAAAGCTTAACATGAGAATGCTGCTTCTTTTCTTTTTAAATAATTTATGCATGCCTTTGGCTTCAAGCTTCTGAATCATCAACTTTCAGTCTGCTAGAGGAACACTGAATAATTTGATAAAAATGGTAGCAAGGAAGATGTCCTCTCTTATAGTAGTTTTAAAAAAAGGGAACAGGTTTGTATCAGGAAAAAAATGTGCAAAGATCTAGTGATAGATCTTTGAAGTGGAATCCTTGGAAATTCCCCTAAAGCAGATCAATGTAAGACTGCAAAGAGGAGACAAAGAAAATTGGAGTAACTGAAAAAAAAAGATCCAGAAAAAAACCCAGTACGACACTGACAAAGGTTGTTTCCTTGACCAAACTTTAATCAGGCAGGCTCCTTGAACCATCTCCTAGGTCCATTGGTGCACTTCCTTGTGAAATCCAGTTTTAGCAAGAACCCTCTAAGGCAGTTTGGAAGGAACCCCATCCTCAGATGATCACTCTTATCTGATCTGGTACCTCATCCTGCCCCATCCCCCAGCTGATGCCTAATCACTCTGACCTGCCTTCAGCAAGAATCCTGGTAGGTCAGTTTAGTCAGAGTCGTCCCTTACCCCTAATGTTTCCTCTTAGTAATTTCCTCCACTCTGCTGCTTGGCTATCAATTTCTACTTGCCCATGCTGTATTTGGAGTGAAGCCCAATCTCTCCTTCCCACTGTGGTGGTCCCTACACTTATCACCATGGAACCTCCCTGACTAAAGTCTGTCTCACCATCTTCAACAAGAGTCTTGAATATTTTTGTTCTTTAACAACTCTGAAGCAGAATATAAACATCAGCTGATAAACTTACATAATAAATAAAGGAGAAGAGTTAAATATATGTAACAAGAACAAGAAGAACAAAACTGTATAAAGAGGGCCAGCCGAGTGGCGCGTTGGTTAAGAGCTAGCTTGGGATGCCAGAGGGCCCCGGTTCGGATCCCACATATGAGGGCCAGTGACACTGCCCTCCACAGCTAAGATGCTGAACAACAGCTTAACCTGGAGCTGGGCTGCCGTGAGTCGGGGGCGCCAGTGTAGGCTGCAGCCCCTGTGGCAGTGGGTTGCCATGGGCTACTGTGTGTAGCCAGCAGCCCCGTGAGCGGCCAGCAGCCAATGTGAGCGGCCGTCCAGAAGCCGGCGACTGATCTGCCTTGCCTGGGAAATGATGGTGCCAACATGGGCCAGTGAAGCAACATCCTCCACAACTAGACTGAAGAACAAAAACAACAGCAACTTGCCTGTTCCCCTTCCCCCAATTCCCCAGCACTGTTCCCATCCCCCCACAATTCCCCAATTAAAAAAAAAATCTTAAAAAAATAAAAAAGTATAAAGACCTGGGTAGAGATTTTTGACCTGGAGGCCTTGGAAATAGCTCTGTAGCAAGAAAAGTCAATGTAAGGTAGTAAAATTTGTTTAGGGATTTAAAAAATTAGGGCTACTGGGTAGAATGGTTCAAATAAATAATAAACATCTGAAACAGGACATAAATGCCAGCTAATGAAAGTATATAATAAAGGGAAGGGGGAGATGAATACAAAAGGCAGAACATTTCCCGTGGCAGGCAAAAGTGGAAAAGGCTTAGGTAAAGAAGTGGACAAATATTAACTTATCTAATATAACTAGCATCTCACTATACACTCTGTGGGACAAAATGCCATAATTTTATTTTCAAAACAGGGAAATGAGTACCTGCTTAAGAAAATAAAAGACCACACATTCCTGGTCTTGTTAGGTAATTAATTTATTCTTTGCATTATTAAACCTCATGTACTAAGCATAATTTTACCAAAGATAATCCCATCTGCTGAATCACTAAAGATCGCTTATTTGCTTTTGCCTTGTAAGCAGCATATTAAATTCTAACAGTCGATCAACCACTTACACAGGCCTGGTTATAAATCTCTACCCTGCAATTAGTTCTGTGATCGTTCTTCTTTCAGACTACAATCTACCTGAAAATGTGATGCTTGGGGCTCTGTGTGGACATGGGAAATCCTGAGATTATATATAAGACTAAAAGCAAGAAAATATGGCAGTAAGATTTTAAAATTGAAATCTTCCCACCTGAGCACTCCCTACTTCCCTCCTTGCTTTATTTTTCATCATAAATCTAATCACTATCTAACAGGTTACTTATTTTACATATTAAGTTCCTTTCTTGCTTGTTTCCTTCTACTTGAAAGCAGGGATTTTTGTTGTTTTGCTCACTGTTAGACTCCCAGTGAACAGGGCAGTGCCTCACATATAGTAGGGGTTCCATAAATATTTGCCAGATGAATGAATGAGCAATCCAGTGCAATCAAAAAGGAAATAAAAATTATTAAAATTAATCTACTTGTATCAAAGTGACTCAAACAATTAGGGTATTTTACAAAGTAAGAAAAAAAAATGAACAAACTGATGACTAATTTGTTCTGATGTAAACTCATCCACTTCTGAAAAATAGGACATTGTATCTATACCATGACCTGGACAGTTTGAACCCCACAACTGTCAACATCAATTAACACATTTCTAAGTTCAGTGTTTATCAAAGCAGGGACAGCTCTGCAGTGGAGGATGAAACCCTGTAAATTAACTGTGCATACTGCTCTTTCTTTTCCTTTCAGAGCGTAGTATTTATCATTATAAATCTCCACCCCTTACAGGTCTCAGTTACAAAATTTGGAAATTTTCATCACTGCTTTATTAATAGCATTCTGGGAAATAAAAAGTTCAGTACCAAAAACTCTGCAACTTATGGTTCAACAGATCATCTAAAAGGGAGAAACGTCATACTCTTAAGGTCATCTTTTAAGAAACTTCATATTACTTACTTAGTTTGGGCCACTTAAGTCAAAAGGCATAATTCCACCTCTTTTTTACTGCCCTCACTGACTCTATACTTGTCTTCTGAAAACTCAGGTGGCTCAACACCACTTCCATCTTGTGTACCAAATCTTCATATCAGTCTTCTATCTCATTTCTTTGCTATGACCTGGCTTCTTTCCCCTGGCCTTCTCTGATTCTCTTTAATAAGCTCACACGCTGTAGAATGTTAAGAGTATTTTCAGATGAGAAGACAGGCAAGTAATTCCAACTTGTCCAAGGTTCCTAAGATGGTTAGTGGTTAAGAATGAACTAAATTCTGGAATTGCTGCTTTCCTCTTCAAAGCTCTTTCTTTCCAACTTACCCTATTCCCCATAAATACCCTCCTTTGTGTCCTTTCTTGTAAAACACTTCTTTATTACTCGCTTGTTAATAAAACACTTGTATTCACCTAAAATCAAGAACTCCCCTAGACCCAAATAACTGTTTTCAATTCTAACCACAGTCAGTTATTTTCTAAATGGAATCATCTCTCATAAAGAATGACAGGGTTTACCTTTATTTTTCGTTGTTTTGTAATTTTTGCACAAGATACTTTTAAAAGTACAAACATGGTGTTATCAGTTGAACTGTGTCTCCCAAAAAGACATGTTGAAGTTTAAACCCTGATACCTGTGAATGGGACCTTATTTGGAAATAAGGTCTTTGCAGATGTAATCAAGTTAAGATAAGGTCATTAGAGTGGGCCTTAATTCAACATCATTGGTGTCCTTATCAAAAGGGAAATTTCAACACAGACACAGAGAGATGACAGCCATGTGACGATGAAGACAGAGACTGGAGTTATGCGACTAGAAGCCAAAGAATGCCTGGGGCTACCAGAAGTTGGAAGAGGCAAGGAAGGATCTTCTCCCAGAGGCCTCAGAGGGAGCAGGGCCCTGCCAATACCTTGGTTTTGGATTTCCAGCTTCCAGAACTGTGAAAGAACAAACTTTTGTTGGTGTAAGTCACTGAGTTTGTAGTACTTTGTTACTAGGAAACTAATACAGATAGTGAAATAATACAGATAATCAAAGTATAACTTTTCTAATTCTATTAGACAGTATTACCATTATATTTAAACAGTCATTTAAAGTGAAACTATTCCCAAAGACACATTACCTAAAAAAAGAAAAAAAATCTCTAGTCTGTGTCTTTTTTTTTACATGATGAAATTAAACGTTAGATACTCAGAGTGTCAATCCATGTTTCAAATGGATTAATTTGGCCTTTGAATAAAATAATCAGATTGATAGGATGTTTAATGCTTAAGCACTACTGTACCCTTCATTCATTTTCAACCAACTACTCAAGTAAAGAACGTGCTTACTTGTTATTAGTTGGTCCTGTTGCCAAGACATCGGACTGTAACTTTGGAAAGAACCCTTGCTCATATTTGCCTTGACCAATTTTCATATCAAGTAGATGTGGGTGTATTGCAGTGTGATCCATTTTCATCAGCCGCTGTTCAATTGACTGGGCTATAAATTAAATTTATAACAAATTAGAGACATTTCATTGGCTAAGCCTTAAAAAATAATGCTTCTTCCACTCATGCACCAACAAGGAACTCAATCTTTCTGACACTCTGAAATATATTTTTACAAAAGCTCTTCAGAAATCAGTATAATGTAAGTATAAAAAGGTTAATTTTAAGTAAATACTGGATGATTAATTTTCTTGATATTTCTACCTTTGTCAAAAGCAGTGCAGTGGGGTTGAACAATCTGTAATTCAGTACTGGCACGGTTTCCAGTAAGTGGGAAATTCAATATTCTTAATGAAAATATGGTTCTAAGTACAACATCAAAGAAAATGATGGCAAATAAAATATTTTCCTTGAGCTGAAAGACAAGTAAAGGCAAGGAAAAAGCAAGCACAGAAGCCTTATATTACTTTGTATGAAGGCCCATTAAATATTCATGGTTCTCCATTTGTGAAAACAAGGAACTGTGTGAAATTTATTACTTTTACCCATGGTCACATTCTCATTAGTAGGAGTCTCTTACGAGTGTTTATTAGATCAAGAGGGGTAATGCAGAGAAAAAATAAGCAGGCATTTAGAAAATGTCCAGAGGATAAGAAACTGACCTTTTGAAGAATAAAACAGGGCAAAGTTAAAGATAGGAATTACTCATCATTTCTATTTTTAAACATTAAAGTTAGGAGGATGTCTCAAAGACACAAGAAATAGTGAATTATGTCTCTGGTAAGAAATATGATGTTAAATGTTTTTATCAACTGCATTTTCAAGAGGAAATGTAATATTTGAGAATCAAGACGATGTCTCCAACCCTTTGCCTAGACGTTACTAAAACGGGAGAACAAGCAGTGATTGTGGCTGTGTGGTAAACAGAACACACTGTGGGAAGCACTAATCTTGGGATTTAAGAGAAGTAAAAAAGCATTTTTATAAATGTCTCATAGAATCAGTTTATTTTGCCTCTTCTACACCAGCAGATTGAGTACTGTTAGGTATTCATCGCACACAGTCTAAAAAATTCTTTCTTGGGAGGGGAAGGGTCTGTCCATGACACACTCTGCTCTTGTGAAAAGAACATTCTTAATACCATCTTATGTGAGATCGATGCTTCACCCATGCCAGTTGCTTGTGTCTGATGATAGTAGCAAGGGAAGCTTTGTGGAAGTCGCTATTACCCTCTATGTCTTAAACTTCAAAATGTTAAACACCTACTTTAAACTTCCCTAATTTTTCTTCATAACCCATATGAATTTATCCAAAACTTTTTTGAATTTCATTTTATTTTTAATGTGCAGCTTGTAACTTCTCTTGAAACATAATCCATATGTTCTATGTTAGGCAAAAGATTGCCATATTTTAATGTGGAATGATATTTAATTTTCCACGATGCCCCTGGCTCTGCACAACCCTATCTATACTCTCAATTCTTCCTAATATTTATAAAACACAATTAACAGATGGTTTAGGCAAAATGATGCTTAAATTCATGGCATGGAATTTTCTGAAGTTCCTGCCAATTTTATGTTCCATGAAATACTACAAAATTCCATCTCTGCCAACGAGTGCCTCTGTCTTCATGAAAGGGAAAAAAGAAAAGCAGCTTCAGTTTTTCCGTTGAACTTAAAATGACAGAGAAATTCATCTGATACTGAGTTATTCTCCTTTAGTTGGAATGCTTTTTAAAAACCGAAATCATAATGCACAGTGAATTACTCTCGGGTTTACACTTAAGATTGCCATAAACATAATGAATGCAATGTTACTTTCCAGTGATTAGACCACAAGTGAATACTGAACATTCAGAAATGATTTAAATGCATGCTTTGAGAGGTCATGGGCCTGTTATACTTCAAAGGTTTGTGCCAAAATGTATTTTCTGTGATTAGCAAAGAAAAAGAAACTGCATTCCCGTCAACTTCATGAGGGCTCTGGTGCCACAATGTCAACAGCAGGTAGTCTCTCCCTAAAGAGTTCACCTGCAAATCAAACTTCTTTTCAGTGAGAGGCAAAACAAAAGCAAAATAACAATTAGACAAAAATCTAATGTTGACCACAAAACCCCAACCTCTGTAACTTTTGTTTGGGGTGGGTAGACAATTTGACCTGATAAAAGAAATAACTGCACCCTCTTTGTGGAACTGACACAGTCACAGCCAGCTGCCTCCTTTAACTTTTTAAAAAAGTCTTGATAAATTAAATTCCTGGGAGACTACTGCTTTAGCGAATCTCATTTTCATATATGTTAAACCTAGGATGGTACATTTTCAAGAGTATTATATAATTTCTGTCATGATAGTGGGAGCAAACTTTTTGAGAGGCTGAAAGAAAAATCTATTTTAATTTAAAAGATTTTCTGGAAGCACACAAAATAAGAGATTTTCTGGAATCAATGCTTAGTTCCATCATAAAAAAAAAAAAAAGTTCTGTCAGGAAGGGAGGAATGAAACTGGCTCAACAAGGCATTATACTATTCATATGGCCATTAAAGCACTGAAAGTCACACTATTCTGGGAACTGGCATAGACAATTTCATTCATTCTACTCCCTCATTTCCAAAAACACAGAAGTAATTGCCACTTCCTGAAGGGCTCCAAGGATCTACCCTAAGTGGGAATAAGATAGGGTGACATGCCAGCGAGTTATCAGAGAGACCTCTACGGCGACATAAATATGCTACTTTCCTTAAATATGCTACAACTACAGCATCACAACTCCTGTGACTTTGGTCTATTTAAATCAAGTGAGAAAGGCAAGGGGAGGCAGAGCAAAGAAACTGCACATGGTTCCTTTTTCTCCAGAGGAAAAATTGCTTTCAAATAGCGCCTATGTTTGAAGGAAAAGAAATAAAAGGGGGGGGCACTCAGGTGAAAATACCAATGTATTTTGCAAATAAAGAGTTAGAAACCAGGTATAAATGTATAAAACGATATGGATTGATACATTTCACATGTTTCTTTATTGAATGTACTGCTAACATGGCAGTAAGGTTTCAGGGGCTAAAGTCATTCAAACCCGGGTTCAAATCATGACTTCGCCAATCACTAGCTACGCAATCGTAAGCAAGTTACTTAACCACTCAGTGTTCTCAACTGTAAAATGAGTATAGTTATAAAATAAAACAGAAGTAAATGTGCCTTTGCCCCCACATCATTAAAATCGAATGCAAAAACGCATCTAAAACACTGGGTAAAATGTCCAGTACCTAGTAAATACTCAGTAAACATTGACTATTAATAAGATTATTTCTTTAGTGGACTATATTACACTGCCAAACAAGGCTGGCCAAGACTCATAATTCTCTGAGGGAATAACTGGTGTCAGGGCTGAAAAACCTCTAATTTGAATACAAGAATCCAGAGATTTAATTTCAGTAAATGAAGCTATTATAATTGATGGTACCTCTAAAATCAGTATACTGTTTTAGTTATGTAAATTAGGCAGCATCTCCGATTTACTATTTTAAATGAATGCTTATCTCTTCCTGGATAAAGAGAAAAGAAGTGAGAAGTAAAAAGGCAACATAAACAGCAAGACAGAAATTAACGTCTCTTTTCCATTAAGGCAATAAAGAAAATAAGACAAAAATCATAGAAACCCTGTAGTTAAGAAGCCATTCAGTTTGTCATTGCTTTTCCTCTTCTAAGACAAGAGGAATTTCAAGTAGCAACTGGATGGACATTAACTCACAGAAACAGAAGGAAACTAAACTAAAGAAAGGACCTCTTGATACTGTGCAAAGATTAAGTATGAAGTCTAAAACTGAAAATTAATTTTGTGGTTTATAAGGCCAACAATGTATAAAAAGAAATAACCATGGATTTTAACTTTCAAGGGGATGGCAAATGTACCTGCTTCTTTTAAAGTGCTGCATTTCTGATACATAGAAGTCCTCAAGGTGGGGGCCCTTACATTATACAGTCTTATCTTCTCAATCCGAGAGTCAAAGACCCGAAGCAAAGGCTCTTTCTCTTCCCACTGAGACATAATTTTATTATCAATAAAGGTGGCAAACATCTGTGTTTCAATGAAGCGTGAAAGAAATGGCAGGTATGGCTCAGGCTGGTCACACAGAAAGGAAGCCTGTAATGAGATAATTAAAAAATTATTAGTGCAAAGAGACCATCTCAACACGACATGATAAATCCAAAAATTATCTGTTGCCAAGGTCATTTTAATCTTATATAAAACTGACACTTGAAATTCAAAAATCCTTAAAAATTCACTTTTCCTTCCTTTCTTCTAAATGCAAGGAATTTAGGTCACTTAGATCTTTAGCACTGATCCTACCTTTCAAAATTGATTTACATTCCGATTCTCATGGCCATTATGTAGAAAAGAGAGCATCATTAATGAAAGATGGTGGGTCAGTTGCTACACAATCATCAGTCATCCTTTTCACTTACCATTAAATTTGACCCCTTTCCCTTGCGAGCTATAACTTCCTCTGCTATCTATTCCTATATTCCTAGTCTATGCACTATCCCGCCACATCATAAGGCCATGGTGAGGTAATTACCTGATATAATAATGATATATACTTAAGTAATAACCTTAAGTAAAAACAATATGGAGTTTGTGTTTATAGGTGAAGTCTGTTTGTTCTTCAAGTAAGTGGATGTTTTTTCTAGGCTTCAACTCTGTTAGTGACTGATGGATGAGGTTCATTCAAAATCAAATTCCTTCCAGACCTGTGCAGACAGAATAATCTGGGGCTTAACAGCTAGAAAAAGTATTGCCCAAAAAACTTTCAAAGCCAGCCAAGCCGTTGGAAAGCATGTTACCAGCTACACGTTCCCGTTACCTGCCAGTGTGTCTGCTGCATGGAATGGTTCAGTAAACTGCAATCAGTTTTTAATTCAGCATGCTCATTTTTTTCTCTGGTTCTTCAGGGCTACGTGTGTATAGGAATTCTAGTTGCAGCTTGGTGCTAGCTGAAGTTTGGAAGTGAATTACTATGTCAGCTGCTGGGTTGGTTTGCCTTTTTATTCATTAGATAGAAGGAGTGAGGCAGAAGACAGGAGGGGGAAGGATGGAAGGGTGAATTCTGACATAAGGCTGCTCTCCTTAATACGCGTCCCTGTTTTCCTCGCATATTTATTTTTCATTCTGAAATGTAGGAAGCCTTTTAAAAATTTCCTTACAAAAACCCACTTACTCAATTTAAGTGCCTTCATAGTTCAGATGTATTCACATATTAATAAATCCAAATAGCCAGAGAAAGTTTCACAGTAGTCTCTAGAAATCAGTTCACCTTTCAAAATGTATTTACAGATAAACATCAAGTTTACTTTTTATAGAGCAAACACCTTTTTTTCCCTAAGTGGGCCAAATGTCTGGCTTTTGATATTCAGACCCTCACGGACTATAACATGTAAGGTTAGCAAAGACGGGCTTGCACGACTAGTATGTAATGGTCCTGTAAATCTTCCTAGTGAAAAATGAGGTGATTATAGGCCTTCTGGAATCCAACAGGAAACTTTCATTTCTCTAGGGCTTGTATAAGAAGAATTCCATTTATAGTTTGAAGCTACACAAAGATTGAGAGAGAAGAAAGTACTAGTGCTTGATCCAGATAAGAATTTGAATTCAAGGACAAATCATGAGTGTACACAGAGTAGTTCTAAGCTGGATAGGAAAAAACGTGGAAAAATGGGTAAGCTTAATGAGAAAGGAACCTAAGAGCAGGAATACATTTGGAGAAATGAAGGCTTCTTAATTTATTAAAGAAGTTTTCTCAAACATAAACTGCACCAGAACTTAACTGTTCAACATAGTTTATATCCTCCGTCTGAAAAAACATCTGATGAAATCGGAAAATCTTTTATTGCTATCTACCCGAACGGAATATTTTTACTCATACTTATTTGTCAGATGTTCCAAGATTGTAGATTAGCCTCTTAGAATGTATTCACCCCTCTGAGAGGTCTTTCATGACACAGAGATAGCATTTAGGGAAAAGCCATAATTCATCCTAACAGCAATATCATGCCTCAGCAATCACAGAGGCAGGGGATTGAACTATAATATACCCTGGTGACCTGAAAGAGTTAATGCCCATCCCTAAATGCTTTTCTCTGGAAAAAAAAAAATATGGTGGATATGTCCATAAAATCGGGCAAAAGAATCTCTATAGTAAATCTTAGTTAGAAAGAAGCTTCAATGTCAGCAGGACAATCGAAAGCTGGTGCTATTTTGTCTTCCCTTCCTCCAAAATGGAACAAAGCCTTAGACTTACCATCATAAAACCCAATTCATTCACTCTCTTATGATCCTAGAACTAAATAAAAATTTGGCTTCTAAAACTAAACTGTTTGTTACCTTTACATGGACAAGTTGTGATTTCATTATAGGTTGAAGGCAAAATATAAATAAGGATTTATTGAAAAGGAATAGGCCTAGGGCTGGGCCGAGTGGCTCAGTTGGTTAAGAGTTTGCTTAAGAAAAGGAATAGGCCTTATATAACTGAGCTTGATCCTAAAACAAGAGTAAATGAAATTCTTACAAGGTCAGGTAGTGTTAACAGATTTGAAAAACCTGTGAAATTCGAGTTTCTATAATTCAAGATTTTTCAAAGTATAGAAAATTAAAAAATGAGATTAAAGGCAATTTAAACATGATTCAATGACCAGCTTAATTAGCTAGTTGATTTGTTTCCTGTGAAATTATTTTAGCTAGTGTAAGATACTGATAAAGTTCTTAATGGAAAGGAAGAGAGGAAACAAAATCTGTGTTTAAAAAAAGTGAACAAAATCCAGTAAAATACCCCACTAAGAACTACTAAAAGGGAAACTATGGTTCATTTTACTTTGTCAAAGTTCTGCATCTGTTCCCGGTTGGTCAGCCAGGATTCCATGTCCTGGGCAGTCTGAATCACAAAGGCTTCGTAATCTGCAAACATCTGCGTAAAGCGGTTAGCAAAGACCTCTCGGAGCTGTACGTTGAGCTGGTAGTCCCTTAGTTCTGTCTCTTCACACTGAAGTTTCACATCCTTGTCTTTTTCACCCAGAGAGGCAGAAAGGTCCATTTTTTCCACAGTCACACCGGTCCTCTTGGCCAGAGCCTGGAGGCGGGCGATCGTTTCATTGCCCTTCAGTAACTCATACATACTGATGTTATTAGCCGAGACATTGCCATTCTTCTTGTCATTGACCAGGTCTTTCAGAACCAGGTTCTTCAGTTTGGTGGCATTCTCACTGCAATGGAGGCTGCCCTCAAGAGGGATTCCAAATTGAAAAAGAACTTCAGAGAGTTCCTGGATAAAATCCACTTTATTGGGGAACTGTGGAAACTCTTCAGGCAACTCGATAAAATGGTTGTCAATATCCACAAAACACAAATTAGCCTGAAAGAGATAAAAGAAATATAAAGATTTTAAAATAAAGGCATTTATGTTCTAAAATATTGTTGCTAACTATTATAAACATAGATTACTCTGACTCTTATGTTAACCTTCTCAAGGTTAAGAATTTATTCTTTAAAAATAAATCTCTCTTGCCAGCATTTCCCCCATGTATTTTTATGACAAATTTAATACAAATATATAATTTTCTCCGGCTCTCATCAATTCATTATAATTGGGACATTACTGTGTAATTATTTGGCATCCATTAGGCATTTCTGAATGGGTAAAGGTGCACAGACTGATAATACTGTACAAATTGAAGGTACTGGGTAAAATGCTCACTGAGTGACCTTGAACTTTCTATGCCATTTCACTGCTCTATTGCCATCTGTAATTTAGAATTAACAATAACTGCTGAAATTTAGCAGTCTTAGTACCCCCAAAATGGGATGAAATTGGCAAAGAGCAATCCAATTTGCAAAAAATCCACAAATTTTCACTTTATCCAAAATTAGCTTCAAACTCTTGGATAACAAAAAACCCATTTCAGAAGTCATTACATAAACAGCAGGAAGCAGAGAGAGGTGGTGGAGGCAGTGCTTAGAGAACTATAAATGATTAACCCTTGGATAATGAAGAGTTAACCCAGAAGATATTTTTGAGTTGAGGAAAACGGGAGATAGAAATCAGAGTCAATGTGTTTTTTTGAGTTTGTTTAATACTCTAGATTTTGAGTAAAAAGACTTCAATATTTTTCAAGTAGATATGGAAAATTCAAGGGGCCAAGTACCTGCATAAAATTCTGATTATCCCTCAGGTACCTGATTATAGTAGACTCCAAAACCGTATTTTACTTTTACTGTTCGGACCTAGTTCTTAATCAGAACTGGGCTGTGGTGTAAAGGAAGGCTGTGCTCCTGAACCAGGGAGGGAGGGAGAGGTGGCAAAGGTGAAGCCAGCCCATCACGTAAAACTGATCCTGATGCCTTATAGGTGCCGCACACGGGGCATGGGGTGGAAGTCGACAAACAATAGCAAGTTTCACCCCACAGTTCCCCATCTCGGCTCCCCCGCCTCCTCCCCCCACCCCCAGGTCAGCAAGGAGAGGCTTCACACTGCGCTCTGATTCTGAATGCCATGGTAAGGTGAAAAGAGGAGCGCAAAGAGAGGGATCTCTGTTTTTCTCTTTGGATTCCTTCTCTTCATGTTAGATAATGATAAGCAAGAAATATAGCAAAGATACAAATCGAGCTCAATAAAAACTCAAGATATCCCTCCATACAAAAACAGAGAACCAACAATGATTTCTTCATGCCTAAAGCAACCTTTGAATCCAACCCATTAATTCTGCAGATGAAGAAATTGAGGCCCAAGGAGGTAGGTGACTTCCTGGCACATGTCCCAGATATGCATCCTCAAAGAGCCTGGTGGCTTAAGGGATTTTTCTCCTGCAGTTTTCCTCATCTTCAATGTCAGAAGTTTTCTCTAAATAAAGTAAGAGCTGTAGTCACATCTTACTGAAGACAGTAGGGCTGCCTATTGCTTTCTTTAAATCCATATCTTCATATATGTTTCTACAGTGGCTAGAAAGCAGGATACGTATATTGAAATGCTTAAAGGGAGAAAGTAGGTCACCATAATTCAAATGGATGAGTCAGTATCTTTAAAATTGGAAGGAAACAAATCCACTAACTTGCTAATCTAAATGTTAACCAGCAACCTCCCACCGCTTACATTTTGTGCTATCTCCTTCAGTAATGCCTTCCTGCTATCCTCTCCCATCCCTTGCCTTCTCTTATGAAAAGAAACAAATATACATTTTGGGAAATTTTAATGATTGCTATGCTCATGTCATCACTGCTGAGCTGAAAGTGTGTGGCAAGGCGGGTGTTCCGGCACCACGGCTGCTGTCCTGCCTCCATGTTCCTACAAGACTCTCATACCTCTTGTCTGTTTAGAAGGCCCACATTGGGGCTTTGATTATCACAAAGTAGAAATAGGAAATGTGAACTTATGTTATAAAATTTATTTAATAAGAGCTAAAAAGCCGTTTTCTAAAATAAATAAGAGTATGCTGGTAAGTCACTTTCTCACTTTTAATACCATTAAATTTAAAAAATTCTATGAGAAAAGCTCAAGAAGTATTAATATACAATAAAAATATACTTGACATCTCAATCTTATGCTGTTTTCAGACTAAATATTTCTATAATTTTACTGATCAATGATGCCCAGAGGCCTTCATGATATGTAATCACTTCCAATGAAAAACAAACATTCCCTCAAAAGGGAAAAAAGACTTGAAGCTTAATTATCTCTTCTGCCATGAAGCCTTCCTATGTTCCTATCCTAAAAGCATTTTGATTTCCTCTGTGTGTATTCTTAGTTCATTCATTCCTCTTACTAACATGTATTTTTAGCCTGTTACCGATATTGTTAAATGACTTATTTGGGAAAGCAGAAATCACCTCTTACTTATCTTGATGTTTCCCAATGTATCTTACACTAGTAGTGTGTGAGAAAACTATGTGCTGAATGAATGAATAAGGCTCAAGGAGATGGTCATTTTGTGGACCTCTAGAACTGTAGGCAGGAGGAGGAAGCACCCAGAACGTGAGGCCAGGGCAGCTCCCTCCACGCTGATCTAGTTTCTCAATGGCTAAAGCTAAGCTGGCATAAAGAAAAGACAGAGGAGAACATGTAAAACATTCCCATACCGTCCATGACATGAAACTAAAAAAACAAACAAACAACAACAACAAAAACATTTCCACAGAATCTCAGGGAAAAATATAGCAAAAGCAAAATGGGAAAAGCAATTTCATTTCACTTTTCTCTTGATTTTTTGTCCACCATTTACTGGAAAGACGAGTAACAACGGTAGAAAGTGAGGTACCATTCTATGCAATTAATCCTCAGTGCTATCTATATCCTTCAGCCATCACTTCCACCCCCGAAGAAACAGTACAACAAATGGCTACTTGTACCTATCATTTTGGAATCATGGGGAAAGTGAGTGGGTGGTTAATTATAAGTCTATATAGTTATATTAGTTAGCTAACAACTAAAACCATACCTTCTTAAAATAATCATTTCGTAAACATCATTTCCACAACTATACTAAGAAGCCCTGTCACTATTTTTAGCTATTATTTTATTTTACAGTTTTCAAAAAAATGGGGGTGGAGGAGGTGAGTATTACTAGTGAATATATTTGTCACTTTTTAAAATGGCTAATTTTATACTTACTTCCTCCTCAAAATTATGTGAAGTAGATTATTTCATCTCATTGTGAAACGATACAAGAGCAAAGTGATATACTGTGAGCCATTTGTTCTAAATAGTCATGTACTAATTTATACTTTTTATATAGAAGCACTGCTATTTTCACAGTGATTCTGGTAATTTCATGTTATTCTACTCTATGAATAGATAGGTGTGTGTATTTATTAAACAGCATTGATTTGCTAAATCAAAAAGTAGAAAAATTATAGACATTATTGTAAGAACTTTCAGAATTTTTAAGTTCATTTATCTTTAGAATCAGAGGATACACACAGACATAGAGACAGAAAATTTTTCTGACTACAAATACATCAAGGTGGTATTTAAAAATTCTCAACAATTATGACTCATGAAAAAATGGAAAGGTAATATTTATACACCTAAACAAATGATCTTATAAAATATCATTTGATTAACATACAAATAGACCAGATACTCAAGAAACTGAAACATGTCACTGTTTAAGTTTTTAAAACAAAATGCATTTGGCTAGTCTACTTCCTTTTCCTTAAAAATTTAAAGAATCTACTTATTTGAATCAACAAGATACCTAGATTAATTTAAGAGAAAACAAGAGAGTTCAGGTAACAGAGAAAAGGTATAATAGGGAGGCAGAGGACGTACACAAGCTCAAAAAGAGCAAGACAGTACACATGTTTATTTTGTATGATCTGAATCCAGCTATTTTCCCCTGAACAAAAATGTTAATTTTGGTAGGGAAACATTCATTAGAATAAAGTAAGCAATGGATGATTACAGGAATCATTACTGGGTATAATGGCTGTGGCTTAGTGTGTTATTTTAAATTCACTTATTAAAATGAGAATCTCTATAGGAAGTAAGAAAAAATAAAAGTGAAGCCCAGCATGAAAGATTTTATTAAGAAAGGTACTAATTAAATAGCTAATAATATAATGTAATTAACCATTGTATGTTTTTAATAGGCCATGGCACTTTCATCAATATTTCATTTCAAACGTTTTACATTGCAATTCTGAGCACCATTAACAATAGCTAAAAATTAGATTCAAGAATTCCTGTTTATTTTCTTCTTAAGCAACATTTGAAAATACAACACACAGAAAGCATAGTATCCTTAAGGTAGCATAAAAGCTAGGGGTTAGAATTTTTATTTCAACCACCTAGTCAAGCTGACACTTAGAAAAAGATAACTAGCCTTGGGTCTGAAAACAAAGAATACTAAAGGATTTGATAATTCCATTAACCCTAGCTTGCTAAAAGATGTTACTTTTCATTTGATGGAGGTCAAGAATCAAATTCACCTCAATTAATGTAATGATTTTAAAGGATGTTAAAATTGGGCTGTACCGTTTAGAAAACAAAATTTATAACATGAATGGGGAAAAGAAATGAAATGTTATTAGAATAACAAAGCAACTAGATACTACTACTATTGTTCCAGCTTCACAAATTTATAGCTGTGAAAATTTTGTTATTGTCCTGTTTTGAACCACATTTCATTAATGGCTGTGCCACAATAACCACCACGAGTCAGGGTCTGCATTCTATGGCTCAGACCTACTTGGGAGATTCAGAACAGTCAGAGACACAGTTAGGACAAAGACAATGCTATATAATAAAGGTAGCCTTGACCTAAATCAACAAACAGCAAATGCTTCATCATTCATTCTGAGTTTTACCTCTTGAGGAAGTTCTAGTTTAGAACGGTCAGTTCCTTCTTTTGACTGAAGGCCCATCAGATAAGGGACAGGAGCATCAAGAAAATGTAGCAGAGATGCAGGGAGGATGGGCACATAAACATGCTGCCATTGAAATGGGAACAAAAGTGTGGTGATGCCTTCCGCCACAGTCATCAGGCGTTGATAATCTGTACAGAACAAGGAAAAACGGAGGGGAAGAGCCCAAGTAAAAACATAATTACTGCATTAAGCTTGAAAATATCAATTTCCAGAAAAAAAATTCTGTACTAATAAATAAAATCTTCCTTTATGACCCTTCAGAAAATAGGTCAGTTCTATCCCACCTTAATTAAAGAGTTAAATGGTTTGACTTGAATGGTTTTAAGGGGGTGTGGGTAGGTGGGGAACATCGTCATACTCTTTACTTCTGAAATCACTAATATGTAAATTTACATTCCTTTAAAATGAGGAGGAAATAAAAACTAATAAACTTGCTCTTAGCATTTCTCCCATTAAAAATGTACAAGAATATCGCTACTGATCACTTTTCGTATACATACATATCTATACAATCTCCAATTCAGAGGCTCTTTTTTTCTTGTGTTTATGATCATGGCTATAATCTATAGTTATCCTGATTATATTTATGTTAGCCTTCATTTTGTAGTTACAAGAAATCAACAAATATATGCACTCATAGTCACACTTCATATATTTAATCCCCAGCTATAGAACTATAAAATCTAGGGACAAAGTGAAAGTGAACAGAAAATTAAAGGTTGTTATTTTTTTTAATTTTGTTTACATGAACTAATATATCAAAACTAAAAACTGTCTACATGTTAAAGTGCTTTCTTTCACACCCCCACCACCCCCAGTTTTATTGAGATATGACTGACATGTAACACTGTATTAGTTTTTGGTGTACAACATGATCTGATGTGTATATATTGCAAAATGATTACCACAGTAAGTTTAGTTAATATCAATCACTTCATATAGTTACAAATAAAGTACCCTCTTAAACCACTCTGCCATACATACTTTATACATACATATAATTAATACCTTGGAAGAAGACATGTTTCAGAATTCTGAGTTTTTTCATTGGAAAAGGTAATATTGTACATACACCATATACATGAACTATCTAGGGCAGTACCCTGTAACCAAACACATTAATATTTCTGCAGCAAACCATGTAAGTGTTCCAGTAGGGCACATAACCAAAGAATTGAAATAGGGTCACTTTGGGTCAGGTCTGGTTTTGCCAATGAATGAGTTACAAAAAGAATGTTTGGTTTTCAGAATTTTTTTTGGATTTGAGAATTGAAGAGACAGGATATTACAGAACTGCAATAATCTCTCACAGAATTCATTGTGCAAAAATACAATAAAATCTGTGAGTTAGACTTTGGGGAGTCTTCTTAAAAAGGATGAGGAAAATGATCAAATGCTAGGTACTTGGTTCGTATCAACTCAAAGAACACTTAATCAAGCAAAAACAGAGTATTTTTCATTATGAAATTTTTCTTTTATAATTTGTAAATGACTGCCTTTAATAGTCTACAATGGGATTTTGGTAATGAATCACCAGCTGTCCATAGCCCAAGTGTACTAGTTTCTTTATCTGAGTCATTACTAAGACTTAAATTTTAGGTGAAAATCTCTTTACAGGAATACTTCTAAAAAATAAATACCAGATGGCCTGAGGGGTGGGGTCAGTCATATGAACGCAAAGAGCTGACCTAAGGTGGTGATACAGGAACATGGGGAGACAGACAGACAGATAGAAAAATACACTAGATCAGCTGAGGCTCCGAGAAGAATCTGGGTGAAACAGCTCATGCTCTGTGAAGGTGGGGTGTTGGGATGGTAGTCAAAGGAGATTAGATAACCAGTCACCGACCTATCACCCTGCTAGTGATCAGCAGATGTTTGAGTTGTAGAAGACAAGGCTCTTACATCATGTGGGTGGGGTTAGGGACGGGCAGCTGACATAACACCCCTGAAATCTGTCCAATGCTCTAGGTTTAGAAACTAACAGCAGCTCTGCACTGTGACAGGACGCCATTATGGCATTTGCCCCATGGGCTCTCCCCTCACTGTGGGCTCCCTAACGGCAGAGTGGTAGCTTTAATCTCATTTTGCCCACAAACACAGGGCCCAGCTCATAGCCAGTGCTGACCAAAATTTACTGACGCTATTGAATGACATATTTTTCTCCTCTTATTGCAACAGAGGCCTAACAAAACACACACACACACAAAAGAGTAGGAAGACATGCAGATAAGTAACCATAAAAAGAACAAATCCAGAGAAATGTTCTGAAGATTCTCTTCTATGGACATCCATTTCAATCAAGGATTGGAGGGTTTTTTTTTGTTTTTTTTTTTTGTATTCTCAGCACTTAGCCTAGTACAAGGCACATAACAGATGTTCAAAAATATTTTTAAATAAATAAATGAATTAGTGGGATAAGACTATATAATTTTGCTGGATATCCACAGGTAAATAAACTTGATTAGATTTTGTGCACATGAGATTAAAGAACCACTAATTTTTCAGTAGGAGAAAATAGTAACTACTCAGGCAAGAAACTATTCACTCAAAAATCACATTTCCTGGGTATTCATATATTTTGTTAATTATGTGCACGCCCAGGCACATTATAAAGAAAATTCAAATATCCATTTACGAAGCTATGGATATTGTTCATTACACAGAGAACTGTTACCAAATGACTCATTCTAACTATGCGTAAGTAGACCTTATAGGGACTAGAACTGCTATTTAGAAACACGTATCACACTTTAACATTTTTTCCTCCTGAATATTAAAAATGTAGAGATTTTAATGGTGAAATGTAATGCAGATTTCCCAAGGCCCTTCAGCGTGAGAAAAGACTCTGAGGAAGCTTCCTTTTTGGAAGTAACCAGAGAATGAAAGTGCTGTGTCTCTCCAGTAGGAAGATCTATCAGGTGTCACTCCTGAAGTTGAGGAGCACAGAACTCACTGAAAATTAAGAGAAAAACAACTTTATATTCACTTAAGTATTTTATGATTTGACTGTATTCAAAATGGGATAGATGGGTTATTACAAAAATAACTGGACTGTTCTTGTCTACAACATTTGCTAAATTAAAAAAACTTTCTGTTAGTTTTACTCTGGGTTTCTACGGAGTTTTGCTGTCATAAAAATAGTTATAGAAATAAACTATTGCCAGGGTTTTTGAGAGGAGATACTGTTACTTAAAGATTAGCATTCTAAGACAATCATTTCCTTAATAAAAGATTCATGTTTTTGACTCAGCTAGCTTAACAACAAAAAAAAACACTAAACTAAATCTAGGTTTTAAAAAAATTACATTTTGTTCAATACTAAATGGGAGAAAAAAACCTACTTAGTAGTCCTTAAATAATTTAAAGTCAGAGGATATTCTTCCTCCAACCCCTTACCCACCTCAAACTTCTGAATGCCTTACTTGATTTTTTTAAGGATAAGGAGAATATTCATTTGGCTAAGAAATACTTTGTAATCACTCATTCCGCCAATGCTCCCCAGTCAAAAACCCCAAGGACACACCTGTATTTGAACAATGAAATTTATTACTCATTGCAGAGAGGGAGAACATACACCCCAGGGAATTACAGGTATGTTAGTAAGAGGGTTTAGAGAGAACCTATTATAAGATTTGGGCTTTGTCTGGATAATTTTGGGGATGGTCTAAGGAAGTGGGTGCTGTCTAATCAGGGCAATTCTAAAGCTGGGTTACGTCAATAATCTGACATATAGGGAAGGCAGACTAAAGTGGGGATAAAGCTGCGATTGGTAAGGAAGTAAAGCAGCAGTTATAATTTACCAAGAAGAGGATGTTTGGTATTTTGTGGGTTGTACAGGGACCTTGCTGTAAGTGGATGTCCCTGTGAGGCTGTTTATGTTCTTTAGAACAGCATGGCTTAGTTGTGAGCATCAGATCAGTTTGCATCACAGTGGGGCCTAGCTGTGGGAGCTAGATCAGTTCCTGGGCGTCAGGGGCTGCTTTGGATTTCTTTCTCAATAGATCGTGGGCCAGACACAAGTGAAAGGCTCAGGGTTTAAGCAGTCCGATCCTGTTCCAGTTATGTATTTTTTGCCTCTCAGCTCCAGATTTACTCAGTACCTGGTCTATGATAATGGACTGGACTAAACATTTCTCTTGTACAATGAGCACAATGTTCAGCTCTGGCAGTGGAGGGCCCTGGAGAGGCACTGAGCGAGGAAGGGGCTTCTCTTCTCGGTTCCGGTGTGCAAGTGCAGTGTTCTGTTTGTTCTTGCTCCTGTCGCATGGTTGATCAGTAGTGTGGATATGTGAGGACATCTGGTGGTACACTTCCCCAGCCACATACCCAGAGCAAGCAGTCTTTAGTGATGGGTCAGTGGTCACCTTCACATGGCCCTCGCAACACAGATACCGCACACTCAGATCTCAAACCCACAATGACACCCTGACGACTTCTGCATGCCCACTCACCACCCACAGCTCACTTGTGCTGGGAGGTTTGCTTTCTGCTTGTCCAGTGACTGAGGATCAGCTCTGGCCCCGACAACCCCGTAACCTTTTCTGCCACCCAATGACCTGCAGCCACACTTTATTCAAAGAGGTGTGAACCTCAGGCTTGGGAAGTGGGCCCCCCTTCCAAGTTTGTCCTTCCTAGGGTACCCTTCAGAGTTTCCCTCGTGTCTTTAGAGTTACTTTCCTAGTATAGCTTAATAATTCTTCATATTACATTCTTCTCTTTCAAGTTACTGTGTGGTTTAATCTGTCTCCTGGTTGGACCTAGGCTGAAAGGTAGAGGGTTTTAAGCAGTCAAATCAAATCCCTGACAGCTTGGCTACTTTATTTACTGTTGATAGGGAAAATGTTCAATCTCACAGAAAATACAAATTCTTTAAGAACTGGAAACTACTATCTTGGTCTATTTTCTTGCTTTAATTATGGGAAAACTTTTGCAGGGGAAGTTTCTAATCTAGTAGACACTGAGAGACGGATGCACATGGTTTATTTTTCCTTCACCACAATTCCACCACCTTTTGGGGATGTTCTATGTTTATTCTTTCCAGATTCTGTGCTCCCTTCAAGATTGGATTAAATGCCACACTCTTTTAAATAACACAATTACTTTGCAGAAACAAGACAATTCTTCT